CTTTGGGCTGGCCACATGACACCCTCGTTTACCTTGGCCAATGTAAATGATGGCCTATACATCATCTGCCGTATAGAGCACAATGTCTGAAATGGGAACTTTTCATCAGATCAGGACCTCTCTATTGAGGCTAAAACAGAACGATTTAAAAACTCCTTTATCTCAGAGTATAAGTAATTCGTGGCCACTGAGACATCAACAGAAGCTTAATTCATAAACTCCTGGTTGTGTGTGCAAATGTTATGAATGTCAATGTTGTTTGTTTACATCTATAGTGTTATTGTCATAGTTGTAATGATGAGGTGGACATTTATAGTAAAACTGAATATTTCATTGTTTGGACCAATAAAATTATCATATCTCCATTTATTTTTGTGTAAACAGGGCTGTTATGACAAAGCTAAAGAATTGGTTCTTGGACAATCTGATATTATTGTTGCTCTGGGCTTCGTGTTTGCTTTCCTAATGGTATGTTCTCTGAAAAAAAAACATTTGTGTTGATAAGAATGGAAGTGTCTTAGTTACTTTTAATGAAATCGTTGCTGTTATGTTATTTAATGTCATGAAGGAGGAAAACATCTGTTTCTATTTTTATTTGTTTTTTAGGTTGCTGGGATGGTAGTGACATTTTTCCTTCTTCGATCTTTAAATGACGAGGCAGAAGATGAAGTCAAGCGTAGACGAGAGCCAGATAATTTATAATTCAAAATTTTTTTAGCATTTTTATCTTTTATGGCCTTGTAAATTTTTAACAAAAATTCATTTTTTTTTTAGTTACCTATCAATTCCATATGCTACAATCTAGGCCCAAAAGTGTTGTTTTTTTTAATTTTGTAATAACCTTTGGCTTGTACTGAGGTTCGCTGAGGACATTTTACTGTATGTTATCCCTGAGTCTTAGTTTATTACTATTGAGTCTTAGTTTATTACTATTGTTTGCTGATATGACCCAAACATGATTGATGTGGTTAATACAAATTATTTTCACATAAGATATAGATGTCTCTCTTTCATACTTAGTGTTAACATTGATACTGAATGAGTTGGGGTTCCAGACTAGTTCTGATCAGAAAATCCGGCCATATAGAAGTGGTTCTTACCCTTGTATGTTTGTGGTCATCTCCTTGGTGATCTGCTGTTCATATTTATTTAATGTATAAATGGAAGATCTTATCGTGATTCTTCTATTATTTAAAAAAAAAGTGATGTGGGCCTCACGGGTGAAATTCCCAGTTCAGCTGAACTAAGTTTATTTTCTGGACAATAGAACAATGAAGATATTCAGCTTACATGTATTAACCAAATAAATTGTTAATCTGAGAATCCTGTAACATTGTTTGAATAAGCACTATGGTTTATATTACAATGTAGTGTATTCATTTTATACGGGCATTCCCACTACCCATATTTTTCTGATCTACTGAGACAGATTAAACAATTAAGTGTTTTATAAGTAAATTTTCTATTGAGTGCTTATTGGAAAGTGTTCTAACTCTACTTCATATTTTTTCTGTTGTTGCTTTTCAGACCTTGGGAACCAAACCAAAAGAATTAGATTTTCGTAACCAATAACTGACGAAAGAATTTATGAATTGTTAGAAATTTCACAAATCGAATTGTTTGCTATTTCTTTTGTGCTTTTAAAAGGATCTCAGTGATCCAGTAAATATCTATTTTACTTAACAAATCATGAAGAATTTTTTAGTCATCTTTCAACTACTTGTCTAAGTGGCAGGTGTAGGCTAAATATTTGGCTTATCTCTCTGGCTACTTCTTGGATGGCCTCTCTTCTTCTTCCTTTATAAGTTCCACTTAACTGCTTACTTGGTATAACTAGACTAGATGGCATACATTTATGAAGATTTGAATAATTTTACTGTGACCTGCTTATACAATAAATAAACAATACATCAAGTTTTTCTGTTTGAGGTTCCCAGGTATATGTTTTTTGTTCTGACTTCAGCCTCACTCTCGCCACATATATACTTGTTGAATGTTACATTGGTTTAAAATCTTAAAGGGAAACTCCGATGGTTTTGACAATTAAATATATAATATGTGTTTTGATTTACAGATAATGAATATATTCTTTTTTTAAAATTTGCAATAATAACTTAGTAATTGATGTTTTTCCGATGTAATTTTCCTGCGCATCCAAAACAGTCAGACTTTCACCGGGTTTCTATGTGACGTCACAAAGGTGTTTTAATCTATTGACTTATTGTATAACAGGAGACCATACAGCAAAGTTTACATTCTCGTAAAAGAAATATATCTTTGTCTATGCAGTTAGATCTAGGATCTTGTAAGCAAAGAAAAAATGCGTATTAAAAGTAGATTTACATGCTTGACTAATCATGGCAGTGTGTATTTTCTCGCCAGACCACTCAACACACAACAAACACTATTGCTTGGTTGTCTTGTCATGACCGACTACATGTAGTCTCGACTAGCCTTACACTGACCAGCTTGTTTGAATCATTCAGGCACACAATCTATTTGTTACTTCTTGGGATAGGGAGAGGCTTAGATGAAAATGTTCCTTTTTTTTTCTCGAGCTGGTTATCCTAATGCTTTTGGATCTATCTATACATGTTTATATCTATAACTGTATCATAGCTCTGGACTAGGCCGTCACTAAGCCTAACAGCTACTGTAAGAATGAAGTGATACGATTGGTTAAATGAAGTTTCTCTTTCAGTATTGTTTAGGGAAGTGACGCATGAAATAACTTAAAACAAATCTCAAGGAATCCCGTTTTTTTTTTTGAGATGTCAAGAATTTACTGACTAATTTATTAAATATAAAATTTTCTAAGCATTTAAATAAAAAATGATATAATGTTTACTATTACAACTTTTTTACGCAGAATTTAAATATGTCAATAACTCAAATTTGAAAAACTATCGGAGTTTCCCTTTAACATTCCATGCAGACTCCATACTGGGTCATGCGTAAACACGATACTGTTATAATATTATATGTATAAGGAATGCCTAGCATTGTGGTATACTAGTGCGCCTGTCAGGTATTAAACAAATGATATTCAAGTTTGGTGTGTTTACTATAATTGCGTTGTTGTTTTTTTCTAGAAACTTTTCAAATATATTTTTGTCTTATATCTTTGCCCTTGATGTAAAGTCTATCCAAAGCTGAGGAATAAATATTGTTAACATTGGTATCCTCAATGTTCTCTATAAGGTAAAATTTAGCAGTAAGCTGAGAAAAAAGATTGAATGAGAATCAAATATAAAGTAGCAAAAGAAACAAAATCACCTTAAAAACTGTTGCTTGACTAGGTTTAGCATTTATTTTATATTTTAAAAATACATCAAGTTAAAAAAAAATTTAGAATATTAACATTAGGGCACGGTGGCTGAGTGGTTTAGAACTTGTCTTCTGATCCTGGGGTCTTGGGTTCAAATCTCTTTGAAAACTGGGATTTTAAATTTTGAGATTTTTAGTGTGCCCTCAAGTCCACTTTGACTGGGGAAAGTAAAGGCTGTTGTGCTGGCCATATGATACCCTGTCCATTAACCCTTGGCCAAAAAAACATGACCTTAATATCATCTGCTGTATAGATCACAAGGTCTGAAAGGGGAACTAGTAGACGAATTTTACAAGTGCTAGCTCTTTTTAAATTTTTTATGGGAGAATAATAAAAGGACAGTCACAAGTATTTTTTCTATTTTTATGATTTTCTAATACAGAAAAAAAATCTATTTGAAAGAACTTTCCAACAACAGAATAAATGTATTTAACATATTGTCATATTCATAAATATTTCTTCTCGCACTATTTCAGTTTTGATATAAAATATTTTGTTCATTTACTGTTAGGCTGCTATGATTATACTATAACATTCATAAAGAACAAAAATTGACCTGGTGGATATTTCCAGAACTGTTCTCTTCTCTTTATAATATTACAGATAATCAAAACATTAACAAAAGTAAAACAATCTTTGGCTCAAATATTTCAAAAAGATTTCTTACATAATTTTTACTTTGCTAAAAACAAAGTTTTTTTTATTCTTTATGCATGTCAGTTTTTTTTTCTACTATTCATTTATATTGCTATATAATTATTAAAACTAATTTAGTGCTGATGCCTTTGGGAATGAAAACAGAACTTTACCTAATCTTCTTAAAACAATTCTTTTATGGCCAGGTAAACTTATTGCAATACTTGTATAGTTTCTTCATTGTATTTTGATGTTATAAATGACATTGTTTTGTTGTTCACTTTGTATATTCCTGTACTTCTGCTGTCTTAGACCTTTATATTTTCCCCTTTTGTTTATATTTTGATCTCTACATTCCACTAGAAGAATGTGTAGAAATATCTTATTGATGAGACTTTTAGCAATACTTGTAAAATCTTTTGATAATTAGTATAAACATTTTTTTTAAATGTATGGGTGTATTTTGCTTTATGTGTTGATCCACGGGAATGTCAGCCACTTAAGCAAATTTTCTCATTTAATATCTGGGCTACCGTATTTTCATGCATATAACCCGTGGGTTATACACGTTTTTACAAACAGCTGTGTGGGGTATACAAATGTTCCGGGTTTACGCATTTTTTTTTACTAATAAACATAGCATAACAGAAACTATGAACATACCAGTGGGTCTTTTATACCTCTTATAGTTCGCTGTGTGGTTGTGAAATGTACATTGTACATTGGAAAGCCTTGTGAACATCTCATTATAAACCTCAAGAAAACTAATTAAAATAATACCAAGCAGAGAATCTTTAATATATATACCAATTTTGAAACGTATAGACTACAATGCATGCAATACATTGGCAATCAATCACCATCCTCACTAATGTCACTGTCTTCGTTATAGTTAGTGAAGCCACAGAAACTTTTATCATATTATCTGTCTTCTTCCAATAAGAGAAGCATGTTGGCAGCAGCAGTTGGGTTATCAATAGACTCTTGACATGTGGAAAGTACAAATGTGCAAGTTTTACAATTTTGTTTTTGCCTATTTTGTAATCTGTGCAGGGTATATGCATATGTGGGTTTTGTAATCTGTGCAGGGTATATGCGTATGTGGGTTATACTCATATGTGGGGTATATACGTATGTGGGTTTTACCCATATGTGGGGTATATGCATGAAAATACGGTAATAACTATTAACACAAAATTTTTTCTTTCCAATTTTTCTCAGAAACTGCTGTAAATTTATACTTTTAAACTAATAATTAGATTACAAATGTGTTCAAGTCATTCTAATGTATTTGAATTCACTTCTGGAGAATGTATATTACTTCCAGCATAGGTCATCTTAACAAATGGTGATAAAATATATTTACAAAAGAGAAGAGTGATCCAATTACTTTTTAGTGGGACTTGTTTTTAATCATTGTAATAACTGAAATGAGTCTCTTGGATATAAACCTAGTACCCACGATGTCTTCCTATTCCCATCCCAGAGACTACTTTTTATATAACAGATGCAGATAGTTTGAGAATCTCAATTTGCTCTTGTCAAGTGTAGAAATTGTTTGTACAACAGGTGTAAGTATTGTACTTCTTGTACTTGATGGATGAATCTGATCACTTTATGTATATGCACATTCCATTTTTTGTTTCAGTATAATCATGTTGTTTTTTTTTTTTACATTCAATTTTGAATCAAGTTTGAAATAAAAGTGTTTCTTGAGCATAAAATTTGTAATGTATATTTTAATGAATGTTAGTGTGAAGATCAATTTATTTGAGTGCTAGATGTGAAGATCTTTTGTTTCAATGTAAAGATGTCTTGAGGTTACTATAGGATTGTGTTGATCAGACAGTGGTCTTCTGATATTACAATTTAGTGAAGATTTCTATTTCAAACATCTATTAAACACTCAAACAAGATATTCATGCCGGAGATTCAAATACAACTGTTGATTCACACAAAGAAGATCCTTCAACAATAAATACTAAAGCTTTAATTCTGGAACTAGAAATCACTTAAATAAATTATACAATGTACAATAAAATTATACAAGTTAACTGTCTTCATTGGAGCTCGTAATAAACTAGATATAATAATATTACTGGTTCTACAACTCAAAAAAAAACATGACTTGATGAGATTCTATTACAACTGACTTGTCTTTCCTCCAAAACTTCTGCATCCTTAAATAAGCCATGCCTATCACATCATAATGTCATAGCTGCTTCCTTTTATAGTTGTTAAATTCTATCAATTCTAAGAACACTGGCTCACAGCCAGAGCTAGTTGCTAGGAGATGGCCGCGGAGGACTAAAAATAGACTTCGCCAGTCTACTACGTCACAGTTAGTTTGTACTAGAATTTATTACAGCCTAGCATTTGTACCTTTACATTACATTTTTTTTAGGTAATATTTATCATCACAGCTCTAAGGATATTTGACTATAACTTAGTAGGGAGAATATAATAACCATTGGTCTATGTGATATCCACATAACTTTGTAGCTTTAAACATTAAATTTCAGTTTTATGGATGATTCAATGGCCTTGCAATGTGTGCATTAAGTCTTTTATAAGATAATGGTTCTTTAGTAAGGAAGACAAAAGCAAATTAAAAATTAATATATAGGCATTACATAATAACAGAGACAAGGACAAATTTAATGTCACAACTTTTTAATAACATATTATAACAAGATTACACTTTCTGTGTTTAATGAAAAAAAAAATACATGGGGTAGTGATAATAATGCAATGGAAAAATAATGAAATACAAAAAAAACAAAAACAATTCAAATGATAATGGTCAGTTAAGTGTGTGACCTTGTAGTCTCACAAGTCCAGAAGATATATACCTTTTTGGCATTAAACTTTTGATATGACAATAAATTCCTAAGACAATGTTCATACCCAACAGGTAAGTATTGAAATACATTTAGCCTCAACACTAATGGACATGTTTTAATTAGTATTTATAGGAGTGTTTCACACTCTAAAAGTAATATCCTTGATTCAAATAAGTCTATTTCTGTTGGAAATCACTTCAAAAACTAATTGCTTTTTTTGTTTCCTAATAAACCTATTCTTTTTTTTTATAATAATATAGACATGCTTGAAACACTGATTAAGTTCAAGAATATTTTTTATTATCATTATTATTATTATAAATATTTAATGAATAGAAGTCTATATGTTTTATTATTAAAAGACTTAATTTTTGTTTAAACTCAATTTCTTTAAACATAAACAAACATACAGAAACAAGTCCACGATATGAAGCATAAAATATAAATTAAAATAAAAACAATGTACACACAAATTATTATAAAGCACTTGACAATTTCATAACAACAATAAGAGTTTTCTTAAATATCTTTTGAAACTTGTGCCAACACAATTGTTGAAATAAAAATATATTTTATCACAGCATATAACACATTTGAACAATGTCACAAATAAACTGAAGAAAAGCATAAAGAAACAAAGGATGATAGGATGATATCATAACAATGTGGAATGGATAAAAAGGATAAGCCCAGCAGAATATAAAATATTGCGGTCGTCATTTCAACACAAATTCATTACTGTCATCTTATTTACATTTAACATAATTCATATTGGAAGTTTGTAAGTATTACTATGTATATATGCCCACAGAATTGGCAAATGCTTGTTTTTTCCATGGATGTGAAAAGAGGGCTAGTCACATTAGCATGCAGAATAAATGCTGTTCTGTTATATGGTGCACAAAATTGAATCTCCATTTTACTTCAGGGACTGGCATTCTTGTTACATCACAATATCAATATCTCAAAATTCTTACATTACTGGTGTAGTAAAGTACAGCGGCAGACAACTCAAACAAGAGAATAAATATGTTTGAAAGTGAAATTTTAAAAAAAAAAGAATGATTTATTTAACTTCTTGTGGTATATCATCCTTATCTAAGATAAATTGAATGGAATTAACATTTTCTATTTTTAAGATGATTTTTTAAAATTTAGCAAGAAATAGATACATTGATAACCAGTGCAGAATTTTCGTAAGTGGAGCCTCTGAGCAGTATTTTTTAGAAGGACACTACCCTTCTTAAGCTTCAATATAAATGCTCTTGATATTAATAAACCTAAAAACTAATCGTATTTGTGAAGAAGGAATTCTAGTATATTTTACCAAATTTTTCTTTTTTTTCCCCACATTTTTAATATGTATATTTAGTGTAAACTTTATATTTTTGAAATGTGGAGGCCTCAAGCCTTTCAGGGTGAGGACCTAGGCAGTGCCCAGTCATAAATCTGGCCCTGCTGTTAACTATTAGTAAGTGTTATAATTTTATAGCAATAATTTTAAGAATGTAAAAGTTTGATTTAAAATTAACAAATTTCCTAGATTCAGTGTTTCATTGACCATGCATACCATGATGTGACATGGATGTTTTGTTCAATATTGCATCACTGAAGTTCAAATGCATCTCAAAGCCCCTAACAGAAGCACATTGGAAAATGCTGGGATTTAATCTATTTTTTGTTTCCAATTTGATGGGACCAAAGTGACAGTATTGAAATTAATAGGGGTTAAAGTCTCTGTCTAGAATCCTCTTAAAGGTTAATCGTGTTTACTCCATGTTGGAGACCATTCAGCATTAGCACATCAGACAAAATGGGGAAAATACAGACCTTCAGGTCAAATGAGCTTGCCAAACAAAAACTTCACAGAAACAAGTGAAAACACTTGGACCTTTTAATGTTCATTTCAATATTACATTTCAAAAGTGTGAAAGTTAATTGGAATAAAAGACCTGGTTTGAAAAAAAAATGACTTGTCCTAGCACAGCATAAGCCAAGGTGGCTTACACACCCCAAGTTCATACATTTTAATTCCATTAGAAAGGAGGATTTTTTTTTTGTAAGTTGAGGATTTTTTTTTAAAACTTACATTTGTTTTTCTAATATGCTGTTGAATAACATTGTGGATCTGGTGCATAATGGCAAGAGGTTTAAGTAACTGTGGAGGCGTGTCACTAACTTCATACCAATAAATGGGTCAAACCTATAATCTAACATATACTTTGAAACCTGGAAACAAACTTCTGTTTTACAATTCAGTTACCTGCCAAAAATCAAACTCTGAATCCATAAATTTTGTATGATGTTTTAAATTTACATGTAATTGATAAATACAACAAAATGAAAAACCTGATTACACTAATCCCTCAATCAATAGTTGGGATTCGAAAAAAAAGTCTTCCAGTCCTACATTTTATAACATCTAAAGTTGTCATCCAAGTAAGTCTTTGAGGTCATCACTAGTTAAAGATTTACTGGCTGCACTGTTCTGCTGTGATGCATGCATAGACTGCATTACTCCAGACATGGGCCTAATGCCACCTCCCCCCCAGCTTTGATTGGTGGATGGGCTTGCTGTAAAGGCTCCAAATGTGGGCTGCTGATAGCTGGGCATTGTGTTCTGTCCCCAGCCCTGGCTGTTAGACATGCCTCCTGCTCCAGTCATGCCCAATGATGGTCGAGGTGTCATGCCTGGCTGCGAGGCTGTCCACATGCCTGTGGTCTGGCCCATTTGGTTCACTGGCACCTTTTTAGCAGAGGATGGTGTGGTCAGCAGAGTATCAAAGGATGAGAGGTCAACCTTAGGCTTTTCAGCTGAAGGAAAAGATGTGTTTGATGAAGATAAGGATGACTGTGGCGTCATGTAATGTGAGTTGGGTGAGGAAGCAGATGCCCAGTTAACTCCTCCACCCATGCCTGTTGCGCCTGGCCAGTTAGCTCCTCCAGATGTGGACATGGGAGTTCCAGCTGGTGAACCAATATTACTCCCGGAGCTAGACTTTGAGCTCATGCTCAGGTTACGCATGTTGGATTCCATCAATGTGGAGGTCAGGTCCCGTGGTCCAGAAGATGGTGTAACAGAACTTGGCTTACTAGTAGATGGGGTCTTTGACTGAGGAGCTAACGGTGGCTGGGACTTCAGCGCTTTCTCCTGTTCTTGTTGCTTAGCCAGTTTTTGCTTTTCTTCCAATGACAGCGTGGTCTGCAATAGGTTACAAAATAAATAAAATAGTATAAAACAAACAAAAAAAAGTAAAAATGTGTTTCTTAAAGCAAAATATAACTATCACAGTTATGTTTCTTCTTTTCTTGTTGTTGAAAATGCTTATTAGTCAGAGGTGTTAATATGTTGTAACTGTGATGCCGGGGATTCTGTAGATATATCTCTAGATCTAAATATGTCTTAGAGATTCAAATAACGAAGATCCTTTCAATTCAAATACAGAACTTCAATTCAAAAACTGGGAATCACAATAATGTACAGATTATACAGAAATACAACTGTATCAAATGAATATCTAGATTCAGATTAATACTCAATCTAATTTCACAACTAATAAAATATATGACATGTCACTTCAAGTTACATCTCCAAACTAATTTCTATAAATCCCGCTTTATCAAATCGTTTTCTTAACTCCTCCCAAAAGTTGCTTTAACCAATCCAATCATTATCTAGGAGGCGCTACCTAACAAGTGCCTGATGAAGTCATGGGTTTTTCTATGCACCTGTACGTGGGGTTTTCCATACCGGGATAAAAATATACAAAGCTTATTACCCTAGCTTAGGTTTATTTAAACTGATACATGACAATAACCTTATTTTAACTATTTTTATTAATACATGTTGCTTAGTATATTTATTAGTCTAGTCTCAATGCT